GCCGGATTGCAGTAAGTCAGAGCAAGTAACGTTTAAGGCGCCTACTGGATAAAGTGTCTGACAGGGGCGCGGCCGAATGTGCCGGCAACTTGCATAGGCGTCTCGCCGACCGGAACATGCTGCATCGATAAATATTTCGTAAAGATTAGTAGCGAACTTCCCATAGACTAACCACACCTAGCTTATTTAGGTATGGTGAAGAAAGCAGATATTGGTCAAAGATAACCGGCCAGACGAATTCATATATACTCAGGCTCGCGACATCGAAAAAGCCAACCAGAGATTACGGAGGTTTAACAACGAATTTCCCAACAAGATGGAAGTTTAGGCCACTCGGATGCCTGGATGGGCACTGAGTGCAGGCCGTCTCTCCCGTTCATCGGACTTAAAGTTGGTCGCACTACCAAAGGCACTTGACCTGTAAGGCGACCTGAATGCCGGACGGGCAGCTAGTGCGTGCAGCATTAGGGCCTCTGACGCCACTCGTGAAAAGGGGCCGTTGGGCGGATTGGGACTAACAGGAACTAAGAAGAGTCGGCCATAACTCGACGGAATAGCGTCGGTAGAAACTGGCAATGTACGAGTACCATAGTAAAGGGAGAGCAAAGCGATTTCATGTATTGTGGTGCACCTATTTTAACGTAACTGACGTTTTCTGCCCGCATTTAGCTTGTTGAATTGCGTAAACTCACTCACTAAGGTCGAGGTTAAGTGCTAATGCAGTAATACTGTGAAAAAACGAAGAGGAGAGTTTCTGAAAGTTAAAGAAGATAGTAAGGAACGTCAAAAGGTGTAGTCCATAAATTTTTATCAGTATATTTGTCATTATACTTCGGCGATAGATTAATCGACCTCGGTCCGATGTGCTGAGGACAACCCCCGTGACTTGCGTGCGAATTAGTTTGAAGTGATAGTAGGCTTGCACAGCCCATACCGCACTCCTCCCGCCTTCCCATCTGGGCCCTGTGTTAAGACACTCAAGAAGACCGGAGGCTGGAGAGGCCGCAGATGGCTGGCCCGACGAAAACCCGCACCTAAGCGTATCATCACACCCTCCGGTCCACAAAAAACACTGAGGCGTAGGCTGTGTATAACCATACCGGAATTGGGGGCGGCACGATCCCAGTTTGCATGGCGTGCGCCTGCGATTAGGCCTGCCATCACAGTCTCTCACAGCTGATATCGAGACGCCTACGGCTGAAATTTGTTGTCGTTGCTTCTCCACTGTCATAATGCCGGTCACTCTCACAAAATTAGTCTTGCAAATCTGGTGCATGCAGACGAGAATTCACCGAGAACACGTGTTTACTCAGCCGTCTGCTGAGTGTAATTTAATGAGAATGTTTGATTGTCTATCACTCAAAATATAGTGCCCTTGTCCATGGCACCGATTATGTTGGTTTTTAACTTTTATTTCAGACCTCTTCGAATCCGTTACAAAGGCTCGAAGCACTTTAACTGCCGCCTCTTTTACGTCGCCTGAATGCAGTCGTTTGGTAACCGGCGCCTTGAGGAAGACGATGACGTTTTTAATGAGAATGCCTGGTATGTGGTTCATACGTCTCTTGCTTTGGCTATTATCTAGTTGCTATTTTCCACCTATCCCTTTTCTTGCTTGACTGATGGCTCCCAATAATTTCTTCCACGATTCGGCCTTCAAAGTGGTAAGCGCCATTAGTTGCGCACGTTGGAGCCTTACAACGGGCATCTTGTCGTTGCTAATGCACTTTTGGTGGTTTAAAACTATCTCTAGCTTTAATCGTGAAATTAAAATTACTGGCTGTGACTGAAATGGACTTCGAACTGCGTGATCTATTCTGAATGCATTCTTATCGTTAGAGCCCCCAGGCTGCAAAATTAGGTTACTAAGGCCATCGCGTAATTATCAGTGGCCGAACGTGAGTAAGAGGGAGTTTCGTCACAGATTCCTGCCGGTGGCATCCACAAGATCACCACGAAAACGACCTAAAAACCCGATGTTTTTTTCGGAAGTTTGGTATTCTAATAATGGCTCCATTTAAAAAAGCAGCAATCACTATAATCGGATCATAATTTCCAGAAAATCGTCATCAGGCCTGTACAATTTACCTATAAATATTTGGAGATGAACAACTTCCTCCACCATACCATTACGAGTTGGTTTGTTGAATAAAACTAACCTGTCTTGACTCTTCAGCACACGGTCGCCGAGTGCAAAATCGTGCCGCCATTTGATGTAGAATATCTTCGCCAGTATCCACTTTACTGAGACACAAACGTACCTCTGTGAAAAAGTTGAGGGGCTCAAGTTTTAGTCTGAATGCCAATAGGGACGCCCGATTTAGACTTGAAGATTAGGCCCATCACTGGACCGCCTGTGTAACTGCGGCCTGCAGGCCTGTTTGTGGAGAAATCGGAGAAAACCCAGCTCATACAAGCTGTCGGCGAGCTGAATTTCCCTCCATGACGGATACGTCAGTAATATTTTTGCAATTATTATCGACTCGAACGATCTCCCACAAAAAGTCTACGACCAATTAAAATCTACTTGGTTTACCGTACAGACAGAAGTCAATTCATAATTTCTACTTCTAGACGTCTTGCTGAGCATAAGGTTAGACGACAAAGTCTATAAAAATGTCCCTGACAACGATATCTGCGCTGAACGGAGTACAAACCTTCACACTGATCTTTACAAACGAGGGTTAAAGTCTGGCTAGTTGATTGGTCAATAGATCCCGAGAGATACTCGTAGAAACAATGCCGGAAGAAGAGTTCCATCTCGTAGGGGATAGTCGGTACCCAGCCAAATTTACAGAAAAAGAATATGGAAAAACGACCGTCAAACTCAGGAGAATGTATGGCCGAAAAATATACCTTCACAAGACTTTCATTTGATGAAGATATAGCAAGCAGACTGCTGAATCATCGTTTGCGTTTAACTGTACCGCGTGGGTGCGCCCTGTGGCTAAAGTTTGAAGTGAATATCAACAGTAGTCCGCTCTCTCCTCCAGAGGGTTGACTCTTCGGACCCTATCAGCATGTATCTATTCACCTGTTCGCCAGGTCCGCCTTGTGTGCTGTCCTGACCCATCTAATTGATATGATCACCGGAAAAACGTCAAGTAGACCTTTCGCGTTGTGCACAGGGCACCATCAAACCTGGGCCTCTGGGCTGCCTAGGCTGCAGATGCACCTTTCTGACTTCGCAGTCCTCCGGGTGCGTAGTTGTTCTTAGTAGATACTTCGCACGATGCTGTGGTTTGAGCAGCAGCCGCACTCCGGTAACCTCTTTGATTGGCTACTCGCCTGCATACGCCCCACTCTGGTGACTCACTTTGTGTAATCTGGCTTCCGGAGTTGTGGGGAACCAGCCGTGTTGTGGCATGAGCAGAGGCTGTTTGCGTCAAGTCTGAACCATGATGACATCAGCAGGAAGTCAGATCCTCACGAGTTATCATCCACTCAGTCACCTCCGACACCCCCTCCAACCCGTTTAAAAAGTTCTACGGAGAGAGCGACAGCCAATCGGCTGGGCGACCACAGCCAGTTGGAGTCATTTGCCCATTATACCAGTCGTGAGAATCGGCAACTGTCTGGGATCTCTTATCAGCCCTATTTGGGAATGCAGTGCTTAATTCACACGAAGTATGGGACGACTATAGGAGGTGCCATAAACAGGCGCTAGTTTACGCGGCCCACAGCCGACCGCAGCTGCTGGACGCGATGCATGCGGTCGAAACGTGAGAAAAACAATACTCTCCCCACCAGTGTCTTCATCCAATCTGGTTCAAGGTTAACCAAATGGCTAACCCTCCGGTCGCTGTTTACCTTCATCCCTCCTCACACAAATAGCCTCCACCCACCTAAAGTATTTATAAACCTCAAATGCAGTTGCGCAGACCTGTTGCTGACTTGCCACAACGATCTTTCGGTTACTAACTTATTCAAGTTTGCAAGTGGTGAAAAGGCCATTCAGGGACTGAAAAAGGCGCGCAACTTTAATTCTTTCAGCATGATCCAGGCGCCCTAGTGACGGAAATTTGTTCCAATATAGTTTGTTCTCTTCAAGGCAAGATAGGCTTACGTCCGGAGCCTATAATACATAATTTGCTACTGGTGTATAAGAGACGTTGATATCGTTTAAAGTCGCGGACCTCATAGGTAATTTAGGACTCTAAACACGCCTGCGTTTTTCTTTTCAAAGGGACCAGTACGAGTGGACAGAAGAAATGGAGCGAGAAGCCCAGAATATGATAGATCTGGCGTCACAAGAACCTCTGCCGGCAGAGAAGCGAGGTAGTCGCTTCCTTCCGAAATCACCCAAATGTGTTCAGAACATTTTCTCAAAAATGCAGCCAACTTTTGGGATGAATTTTACGACCATCACGAGAGCCACTTCTTCAAAAACCGTAAATGGCTCACACGGGAGTTCCCTGAGCTACTGGACCGTTCGCTGGCGTCCGGACCATTTCGGCCATCAGAACACGCAGAATTTCCCGGCCAGTCTTCTTCCCTCCGAGTTCTGGAGGTCGGATGTGGTGCAGGCAACACTGTTACTCCCATACTCGAGGCCAAGGAGTAAGAATTTCCCGCTTTTGTGCTCAGGTTGCATTAACAAAAAACTCTAGACGCGGAGTCGAAGATACCTTCATATACGCGTGCGATTTCTCCGAAAAAGCGGTTGCCCTCGTGCGAAGTTCCTACCTCTACCAGCCAGAGCACTGCTTGGCCTTTCAACAGGACATTTCAAAGCCCAACCTCACTTGGCCCTTCCCGCCGGGTAGCATCGACGTGATCTGCATGATTTTCGTCCTCTCTGCTATTAACCCCGCCGAGTAGGTTTGGTGGTCTTTTTCCAATGCGTAATACGTGTTAATCCCTTCCCCCCTAAAGCTTTGCGCAGACTGTATGCAACCTCCGTGATTGTCTGCGTCCCGGTGGAATGATCCTCTTCCGCGACTACGGCCGCTTCGACATGGCCCAACTGCGGTTCAAGAAGGGTCGATGCATCAGCGAGAACTTCTACACGCGGGGAGACGGAACATGCGTTTACTTCTTCCAGCAAGGTAATGCACAGTTCTAGTAATATTCTGTTGTCTTGTTAGACGAAGTGCGAAGATTGTTCACGGAGGCTGGCCTCGTGGAGGTGGAAAACCACATGGATAGGCGACTTTTGGTGAACCGTCGTCGAAAACTTAAGATGTATCGCGTTTGGCTGCAGTGCAAGTATCAGAGACCGAAGGAATAATCGGATATTGTATACATATAAAAGCATGTATTGTACATTTCTCCCTAGGAAATCAATGGAAAGTTAATCAGTACTCGTTTGGTTGTGGCTGGTTAGAGGACGCAGCCTACAACCCGTACGGCAATTGAGGAACCGTCAGGGACCGCTGAATGTTCCCCAGTGCTAGGTGCTCGCGTCCTCTCTAGCTTGTCTTGACGCCGAGCGCCGTGGTTGGTTCACGGGTGACAGTCTAAAATGAAAGAACAGGGACCTATTAGGTGTGTTAGTAATGCCTACGTCACAAGCACGATCCCTACCAAACCGCACAATAACAAGCACATAGGCTGGTGAGGAACCTGGCGCACTTTTTCGGGTTGCCGTAATGCTCGCGCAAGGGAGTACGCTGTTCAATCATGTGCACATTTCACATTATGAGCGGGAACAGTAACATCTACGAGGGACGCATATATCGATAAATCCGTTCTTGTCCGGGACGACATTTTCCAGACATCACAGACTGCTAAGCAAAATGTATCACCGTAGTGCCGCGAAGGCCCACAGGCCTGGGTCTTATGGACTGAAACTACCTGTCTTCGTGCATATACATTCGAGAAGCACTGCGCTCGTGAAATTACACCAAGAGATAATGATAGCCCGTGATAAAAAGGGTACTCTAAAAGTCCAGCCCCACTCTTCCAACCCAGTCACCCACAAGCTCCATTACTAGCCCAGCCAGGAGTGAAAAACCAACAGACACGTATGAATCCACGCAAAACCAATGCGCTTATCTGATACACATTATAGGCCCTGTTCCATTAACAATAACGGAGACTGGATTTCTAATGGTTATCTGGTCACGCGTTGAGCGCGTCCTTAACTACTGAAGGGAACCACAACTAACAACAATGTCTTCGTAGCAGACGTACGAACCGGTCAAATTTCCATGTACACGCAGAGGTGCGGCTGGATGGTGATGCGGCCCTGATGTATGCAAAATGTAACCCTGTCGCTGAAGTACAGTGGGCATCCTTCTTTCAGAGCAGACAGCTAGGGTATCCCGTTTAGATGTAGCAGTCAGTAGTACCTCAGGGAATTCGGATTTCCAAGTGGGAAAAAAACGTAGAAAAGATTTCAAACACTTGATTGTCCACCTAAACGGAGATTGTGGGGGAAGGAAGTTGAACTGATGCCAAATACAAAAGCAGTGGCTGGGTCAACCGAAAGCAACCGTCTCATAGAAAGGCCTGCGACATCAGATGGACTAATCATCCCTCCCTCCGTAATTGGCTGGTCACTACCACGATCACCCCACCAATCACACAGAAAGTCGCCAGCGAAGAGTACGGAAGGCCAATGTGATCAATACGAAAGCCGTGCTGTTTGGATGCGATACTGTTGCCTCAGTCCCTGGTAAGGGACGGTAGCCCCAACCGGTTGATATGTCAGACAGTGCATTGCTCCGGACAACTTCCCTAAGTTGCGTTCTTATGCCACCCTTGCGTCTCCCTCGAGCCTACGTCTACCATAACCATGGCTATTGGGCTTGGCACCGAACTGTTGTTGATCCCTGACGATCAGTAAATAGTTCAGTTTCAGTAACTCCCCAACGTACTTGCTGGTTCGTAGTCTGTCAGTGCAGAGTAGACGGGTGTCAATGAGTTGCTTCAAGTTCCACAGGGTAGCCCGTTGGTGGGGCGTGGGGAGCCCAAAGAATGCTCGCAGCAGAGCAATGTCTCGATTCAGCAGGAAAACACCATAGCGATAGGCGGGCAGGGAGATATTTCGCTGGATGTAGAGTGGGAACCTGGTAAAAGGGAAAGTAATACAAGTTGGGGATAACATTTCAGCAGAAGATAACTCAAAAACCCAACTAAAGGGTGCGTTAGCCAGACGTGCCGGCTGCTCTAGTCCGGCTTTCTCATTGGTCAAAACAGTCGCTGGAGCGTGGTTAGACTCCATATAGGGGCCACAGTGAATTACCATCCGTCCAGTTAGGCGTCTGATTTGTCCTGTCAATCCCTCAACGCAACTGACCCTTCCTATGCAGCTCTTAGTACATATTAACGGTAATACGAGCTTGATGATGAAAAACAGAGTGGCCAGATTATGGCAATCGAGCTGCTTTGGGCATGAGCGTTTGGTAAGAATTCTAAGAAGAAAACTAGCAAGACGAATTCCGCAATGAGAGCTTTTGTCAGTGTAAACTACTCTAAACACTGGGCTTCTTGGCGAGGGCGACTTGGGGCATGCATATGCACGTCAAGGAGGAATAGATCACACCGAATCCTGCCTAACCAAGTCGGTCAAGATTGAAATACGGACCTACGCCCTCCACTGACTGGCGGCCTGAACCCGGTAACACTAGGACAAACTAGGCTTTATATATATGTGACAACGATACGTCTGGTTTACAGAATTAAGCTGTTTTTAGCACAAAACCGACTTCGGCAGGCCATGTATTTCTAGAGCACGCAAAAGTTGATCCCAAAACATCGTTACTTTAATGACTTCCGGTGACGTAATGAGCGTCACCACTTGCGCATAAGACTTGTGCGACCTAGGATGACCATGTACGCGGAAAGTCGCATGGCTACATCCTAGTATGAAGTGAAATTCTTGTAGACTGGCAGACGCTAACCATTTAAAATTCGAATGTTCCTTTAGACGCACAATTCGGAATTATAAATCTTTTCAGGGGTCGACTACTGGAAGAACGCGACGACCCGTCTATTGGCCCCTTTAATGTTAATATTTACAGCCTACGGCCCTGTGGAAAAAACACGAGAAAGCATTTGTTTCGAGTAGTTGGGCAATTTATGACAGAAACGATCAGGGCGCTCTCATGCTGGGCTAAAATGCTTCCGCTAATGCGCTAATGTCACTTTTGCATTTGGTACATTCGTTCAGCGAGGGATGGCGAGTCAGCCGGGGGGAGCTGGGGTCAGGGTCGAAATTCAGCGGAATACCGCCAGATAGGACTTCCTGCCGAGGCAGGTTTACTTCAAGAACGAGACCAAACAGTGGACGGCGAGCGGACTCGTTATCTCTTATAGCTGTTTACAAATAACGTGCTGACTTTGCTATCACGTCAACTGTCAAATTAGGGGAGAGCCAAACGGCGCGAGAATTGAGTCAATACTTGACCAACCAAGGTGTCGAGCTCTACCTCTCTTGGCAAGCCCTGCGTAGGCCGACTTTATGATTGGCGACAGGCAAAATATGCAGCTGACTAGGCGGCCTCACCGCTCACATTGTCTGCCTTCCTGCCCCGTACATATCCCTCGAGGTGGATTCGAAGCTCTAAATAGCAAATTGTCCTTCCCCGCTCCTTTACCATTATTGTCATCATGGTCATGAATAGTAGTTGTAGTAGTTTGGCGCTGTTTGACTCTCCCAACTCGCTCTGCAACCAAAGACTTGATGAGACACTACTCTGACAAACTAAAACAATCAGTCGGACTGATGGGGGGAGTCAACTTACCGCCGCTCTTCATCCGCCAAGTGTGTAATGATGGGGTCCATGACGTGAGACCGACAACTACCCAGCGGGACAGTACTTAGCGGGTAGCGCAGAGGAACGTCGAGAATGGCGGAGAGGATTTGCAGTAAGGAGACCACGTGGCCCAAGCTCACTGCCGCAGTCTGTGCCTTATTCGCCAGCAGGAGGGTACGCGCAGATTGGGTCAGTCGAATAGACTCCTCTGCAGGCGGTTGCGTCCCACCGGAGGCAGAGGCTGCGGCGGCGGCAACGGTTGTCTGACCCTCGGCCACGGAGGGGAGTTTCGGCTGCAGCCCGTCGCCCACATCCAGCCAAGACGCAATGGGGGTCGAGCTGGTGCCAGGTGCATCGCTGTCAACCAGCACAGTCCTGCAGATGCTTATCAGCTGCGCCAAAACATGAAAGTGGTGTGTTTTTCGTCGATTTTGTTGCGTATAAAAGCAGAGGGAGTTGCAAGAGTACTGAATTTGGGGGTGAAGTTATGCTTCAGCTGGACGTCGTTTGTGTGAAAAATACCGGCTATCAACTTGCCGAAGAAGAGCCTCCCGTGGAGTCGGGCCGCCAGTGAACTGTGTCGCACTTCATATTAAACTAAACGAAATCGATACTTGGCATTTTGTGCGGACCTGGGATATAACATGAGTTCCTAGGCTCACTAGACTGGCCTACTGGTCAACTTTGCAAACGGCATATCTCCCCGACATCGTTTTATTGTCTACTATCTCAGAAGACGATTTGCACTCTGGTAGTTCGACTTCATCTGATGTACGGGATATGACTGGTCCCACGGATAATAATTACGTCCCGCACATTGCTTCCGACTGGCGGCGGCCGATATGGCTAACTTGATCTACTCTTTTCCCTTGGTACAAAGGCCATCTAAGAAGGGGATTCCTTGTTCTGGCCAGAGATGCGGCGTGCCAATATTCTGGCTGTTATGACGAGGTTGCTGAGTAAACAAATCGGACCAACAACCTGTTGTAGTTTAACAGTAGCAGAGCGGTGAAGAAAAAGACAAAAATTGTTGTCGTAATAGTGTTATGGTTTCCTTGGGGTAGGCAGAAAGGCGACCGGATCTTGGCGGCCACGGGGGAATAAGAGTCTCGTGAGAACTGGGGAGGGGGGGGTACTTGTCTGTCGGTGCGTAAACGTGTGGTGGGTGCTGGGACCGCCTCTGGCAAAGGGCAACTGTGAGAAACGCTATTTCCTGGCCGCGACTCGACAGACGCAGTGGGTCCTAGCCACCGGAAGTGCTGATTCGTGTGCAGCGGCATGAAACGTTTTCATTGGACACGGAAGACGCCATCATCAGACAGGTCTACCAGCATAGTGCAAAAACAAACTTGTGAAAACCATCGAGGGCCTAGTTAAAATCACTGGCGTGCATTCTACTAATTGGCTTGGCGCCGCAAAATGTTTCCTAGGATGCAGTGCGTTCCACGGAAAAAGAGGTATGTCAGGAGGGAAATCCACCTGTTAGGCTAGGTGCGGACCCCCAGGCACATCCATCCAAAGGCGCCTT